TCAGATTGCTAATCTTGGTGGTAAATGCCTTTACCAGTGAGTTATCTCACTGCCCCCCTCCAATAAAATTTCTAATCCATTTGTTGATATTCACAAAATAATTTGCTGTGATTTTAATTGGGTTGAATTATCTTGAATCCAGAAAGAACGAGCATCTTAGTACTGAGGCTTCCTATTATGACCATGGGATGCTGCCTATCCATAACCATGGGATACTGCCTATCCATGAACATGGGATGCTTCCTATTCATGAGCATCAAATGCTTTCTATCCATGAACATAGAATGCTTCTTATTCATGAGCATAAGATGCTTCCTATCTGTGAGCATAAGATGTTTCCTATCCATGAGAATGGAATGCTTCCTATACATGAGCATTGAATACTTCCTTCCTATCCATGAGTATGAGGTGCTTCCTATCCATGAGTATTAGATACTTCCTATCTGTGAACATGGAATGCTTCTTATCCATGAGCATGAGATGCTTTCTATCCATGAGTATTAGATGCTTCCTATTCATGAGTATTAAATGCTTCCTATCCATGAGCATGAGATGCTTCCTATCCATGTGTATGGAATATTACTCCATTTACTTAGTTATTCTCTGATTTCTTCCATCAGACTTTTCTGGGTTTTTTATGTATGTTTGTATATATTTTGTTAGATATAGATAAATGTTTCACTTTAAAAATATTACATGCCTTTAATCCCAGAACTTGGGAGGCAGAGACAGGAAGATCTCTATGAGTTCAAGGCTAGCCTGGTCTACAGAGGGAAGTCCAGGACAGTCAGGGGGGTTGCACAGAGAAACCCTGTCTCAAAAACCATATATATATATATATTGTATCCATCTTTGCCTGAGTGTATGTATGTGTACTGAGTGTTTGCCTGGCGTGCGTGGAGGCCAGAAGAGGCAACAGATTCTCTAATGATTATGAGCCTCCATATGGGAGCAGGGAATTGAACCTGGGTATTCTGGAAGAACAGCAAGTGCTCTTAACCTCTGAGCCATCTCTCTAGGCCCTAAATATCTTATTTTTATGTGACTGCAAAGATGTTTATTTGTAAGTGATGGCATGGCAAATAAGTTGCTAAGTAAGAATATAATATGATGTTCATTTTAAAAAGTTATTATTCCTCAATTTCATATGCAGACACATATACATTATATGAATGCACACTTTATAAAACCTGTTTACATATAATAGTTTCAGAAATCTACTTAGTTTCTATTGACTTGGGAAAATAATGTTCTAGAGTTCAGTATACATGATCAGCAACCTTCAACTCTGCTGCGTGGTGGGTATCTTGTTTCCATTTTCTAGGTCTTTGAAGCACTCTGGCCTGGGTCATGAGGTGGATGACACTTTTCTCTGATGTCAATGTGACTGTTTATGTCCTCAGTTCTTTCAATGATCATTTTGTACATGATCTGAAATTTGTCTTGCATCTGCTCCAAGCATGCCTCTACCACCAACATCATGTCTTGCCTGGCATTTGGGTCTGTCTTATCCATCTCCCTGGTACCTTGCTTGGAGGCAATGTCTTAGAATCATTTTCACACTTGAGTTTTTCCAAGCATATGCCTCACGGCCTCAGCTTCTTATCATACATACAAACATTTTATATATTCTGTAATATATTATACATAAAAGTTTGATCTCCTTCCCCCAAACACCAAACTCCTTCTTCCTCAAAAGTCTTCTTCCTTATATGTCTTTTAAAAAAAGATTTATTTTTATCTTTAATTAAGTTTATAGGTGTGTCTATGCATGTGTTCAGTGTCCTTGGAGACCAGAAGAGGGCGACTGTGAGCTGCCCCATGTTGGTGCTAGGAACTGAACTTTAGTTGGCTGCAAGAGCAGGACGCACTCTCAACCACTGAGTCATCTCTCCAACCCTCCTCCGTTTTCTGTGTGTGTGTGTGTGTCTGTGTGTGTGTCTGTGTGTGTGTGTGTGTGTGTCCCACTGCATTTGATCGGGGTTGCCTGCACGGTGGTAGATCACCAGCTTGAGCAGGGTCACCTTGTCAGTAACTGACAAGACCACTGGGCACTCCCCCTCCCCCAGCATAATGTATTCATTTTCAAGAATATTATTCTACTCACGGTGTGTGTGGATGATGAACTAAACGCAGATACAATAAGTTGTTATAGGATGACTTGTTGGTATAAGTTTGGTTCAATAGCTGCAAACAGAAATAAAAAAGTAAAGAAGGGCGCTGTGACAGTTCACCTGACTGTCAATGTGACAGATGATTTGGCATGAACTAACACACACGCGTCTGGGAGAGTCTCTAAGGACATTTCTGGAAGAGAATAACCGAGGAGACTAGACTCTCTTTCCCCAGAGTGGGAGGCACCTTTGGCGGCCCAGATACAAAGAGTTTCAAGGAAAAGCAACACAATTTGCCTGCGGGCCTTTGGTTTTTGCTGGTACATGTGTCTATCCCATTGCTGCTGCTGGTGGTGGTGGTGGTGGTGATGATGATGATGGTGGTGGTGGTGATGATGATGATGGTGGTGGTGGTGATGATGATGGTGGTGGTGGTGGTGGTGATGATGATGATGTTATCTTCCACTGACTTCAGAATGTAGCTTCTTATGCCTTTCAAGAGGAACTTTAGACCAGCCACTCTCCAAGAATCTTCCAGGTCTTCAGCACTAGTTTGGTGTTAAAGGAATCCAGTTTCATAGACTGAGTAGCTACCAGTGTGTAGTCAGCCCCCCTGTTGGTTCTAAGTCCTCTTTCATGATGCATATGCACACTCTGTCCGTTCTGCTTTACTAAAGAGCCACAACTAATACAGCAGCAAAAAGAAAATACTGGCAGCACACACCTGTAATTCCAGGATGGTAGGCTAAGGTGGGGTGATTGCTGTGAGGTCAAGGTCAGCCTGCATTTAAAAAAAAAAACAGGAAGATAATTAAATCCAGTTCTAGAAATAGGACAAATAATTAGGATATTCTTTTTCTTGGAGTCAAGCAGACAGGTATTCCAACAGCCTTGAAGAGTCTTCAGCTACTCAAATCTTCTTGTCCTCCCAGGGAATCGGCGTGGAAAGACTCAGCAGCTACACTTCAGAGCAAGCGACCTTTCCCAGTAGCCAACCATCTCAGGAAGCCAGCGCTAGTTGTGAGCTAATTGGTCTAAAGGTGGATCCATTTAGACCAGAGATGGGCAATTCTGGCCAATAAGACAGAAAAGAAGTCTGCTACTTGGAGTAGAGACCAAGCTTCCCCTAACCCAAGAGAACACACGAGGAGAAATCACCTCCCACCCTGCTCTGAATCTTGCCGGCATCTTTGTGTCTCCCAGGATTGCTGTGGCCATGTCTCCACTGCCGATTGAAGCCAACAGTGCGCTTGGTAAAGAGAAGAGTAGGCACTGTGAAGCTGCCCGGCCAGAGCCCCACCTATCATTAGTGTTTATTGTGGTCTGCGAGGGATTTCTAAGACTTAAACCTAAAAGCCCCCTGTCTGTTACACCTGCTCATGTACACCTCTTGAGACACGGGAGGCTTTGGTTGGATCACACTGCTCCCTCCAGGAGGGTTTTTGCCCACTTCCTTGTTGATCTGTTTAGGACCTGACACTGACTAGGTATCTCACAAATAGCTAACGAAACACCAGGAGCCTGCATTGTCTTGGTCCAGCTGTTCGCCATCTTTCTCTTTGCTCCTATTAAGAGCTACCATTACTGAGCTGTGACCGATGCATGCTCTTGGCA